TATGCCAAGTAGGGTGATTTAGCCCCCATTTAGGGATAAAAAAGGGGAGGGGGGTCTCTAAACCCTTAGAGGAATTCCAGTGCTTTGAATTGGGGCAACTGATGGCAGCAGTTGCTTTTCCTCTATGCTTCTCCCCGGAGTATTTAATAAAAATAACTATCATAATAGTTTAATGAGTTCTTTTATAATTGTCAGGTCCCTGTTCTGTGGGGCTATAATCTCTGACATTAAGTACTCTTATTATCCCCATTTGACATGAGAAAAGTTGAGAGTTAGAGGAGGTGACGTGACTCCCAGTAGCTGAAAGAGGTGAGAATGGGCTGCCACAAGCCCCATGTTATTTTTAAAATTTATTATTATTTTTTACTTAATTGATGTTAGAGAGAGAAACATCGATTTGTTGTGCCATTATTTATGCATTTATTGGTTGATTCTAGTATGTGCCGTGGTCAGGGGATTGAGATGACGACCTTGGTGGGAGCGCGGAATGATGCACCCGGCAAACGCGCGCGAGCGGGACCGCACCAATAGCGTGAACACGGCCTTCACGGCGCTACGCACCCTCATCCCACGGAGCCGGCCGACCGCAAGCTCTCCAAGATCGAGACGCTGCGCCTGGCCTCCAGCTACATCTCGCACCTGGACAACGTGCTGCTGGTGGGCGAGGCCTGCGGCGACGGGCAACCCTGCCACTCGGGGCCCGCCTTCTTCCACGCCGCGCGGGCTGGCAGCCCCCCACCGCCCCTGCCGCCCCCGGCCCGCGACGCGGAGAATGCCCAGCCCAAGCAGATCTGCACCTTCTGCCTCAGCAACCAGAGGAAGCTGGTGAGTGTGGACGCAGGGCAGCCACGGACAGGGCCCTGAGAAGGCGGGCACCCCTACAGCCCACACCTGCTGGGCAGAGGCAGGGCCAAGGAGCAGCCCCCTAGCAGCACCTGTAACCGAAGGGCACGCGTCCCAGGGAGGGAGGAGGCCAGGCGGAGGCCGCAGGGCTGGGCCTTCTGTGCGTCCCAAACAGGTCCTACGGGACCAGAACGGCCCACCCAGGGCCAGGTGGGGTCTGAGAGGCAGGCAGGGCACAGACAGGGCTGGTCTGAGCGATTCCGGGCCCTCTGCCTCCACAGGACGGGGAGGGAGGCAGGAAGGACCCCTCGGGGCCAGTTGCCAGGCTACAGCCCCTGCCCTGGCCTAAGGCTTCTCGGGCACCTGCTGTCCCTCCCTTGGCCCAGCCCGGCCCCAGGGCTGCCCACCCAGATGTGGCCGTGGGTCTGAAGGCAGGAGGCTGGCAGGGGTTTGGGGGGCGGGGGTGGGGGAGGGCCGTGATTTACAGCTCCTGCTGTGCTTGGTGGCACCGGAGAAGCAGGGTGAGCGGGAGAAAATACGGCTCGGCTTTCCCCAATCCCCACTTCCTCTCCAGACAGCACGCGCGAGCTCCTGGGGCCTGAACATCTGGGAAATTTAATTTTACAATTCCGGCTGCGCAGCAGTGTGCTCTCCTCCCCACTGCACGGGGAAGCGGGGCGAGCGCGGAAGGGGGCTTCCCTGGCCCGCCACCCCGTGGGCGCAGGGTCCCAGAGGTGCCCAGGCCCTGACACTGCCCTCCCCTCTGCAGAGCAAGGACCGTGACAGAAAGACGGCGATTCGGAGCTAGAGGCTGATGCCACTGGGCGACCCCCGGAGAGCCCCATGGACCTGACTCGGGCACAGGCCTCCCGTGCGGGCACCCACAGGCCTGCTCTGCCTCCGGCTGCGAGTGGGGCTGATGGACAGGCAGGTGGCGACGGGACTCTGAACTGGCCACAGCACTGCCCAGGCCACTGGAACTGTCCACGCTGGCTTCCTACCTGGGTTTTCTTTTGGTCACTACATGTTGGCATCTTGTGTCTTTGATATGATAATATAAAGTCTGGAAATTTTGTATAATTAAAAACAAAACAGTATCTTCCAAAAGTGGGAGCCCACTTCCTCTCAAAGGGTCCAGAATCCTTCCTGGGCCCATCTGCCCCCAGGGCTGTCTCTCCCCCACGCCCTGTCCGCACTGGGCTGGAGGCACCCAGCT